ATTTGACACTGTTTCATTTTTATCTACAGATAAATGCCTTGTTCCACCACCACTTACAGACTTCACCTGTTTGAACCCACCCTTCGACTCATCAAAATCCATCCAGCCAACCTCAATTCGTCTAACTGTTCGTTTTGCATTTGTATTTTCTTCCCACTGAGACAATTTCTTTTTAGGAGGCATTCCCTCAGCTCCTGTCAATCTTTGTCGTAGCCTTGAGAGTATAGATTCTTTCCTGGATGGCAGAAGGCCACAGTGGAGTCTCTATCGCCAACTTTGGGGATGTACTTTGCCAGGTCACTGTCTGTCATTAAGGGAATGACAGTTTCATCAATCTGAAAAATATAAATAACAAATTAATAAAATTGTCAATATTAAAAAAAACAATGAATACATACAACTGCATATTTTAGAGTTGTTTTTTGCTATCTACTTTTAATAACAGATACTTTTGGTAATGTGGTACACATTTGTCCAACATAAGATGAACAAAAATTACTTTTAAAATTACTCTTTAAACATATCATGTCATTAATTAATGTCACTGATTAAACACAAATATGAAATTCAATACATTTTTTTAGAATGTGCATAGTAAATTGTGGATTGCTGCTCTCCGTTCAAAAACAAACACACAGACACACGCACACAGCAACAGCTGCAGTGGCTTACATTCTCATCTTCAAGTTTCTTGATCACATCTTCTTCAACTTTGCGCTCTGTTAAAAATTCTCACAGCCGAGTATCCATAGCTGACCTCCAAACCACATGAAAATGAAATTAGTATTTTTACACTCGGTTATAAATTTTATGTAGCAGATTTTTACATGATAGCCTACCTATAAAATCACTTTATATATGGCAAAGCAGAATTTGATAATGATTGTTTTATTACTTTGATATTATCTATGGTAATGAGGAATGGAGCAATTGTCTACTTGGAGTTTAAGTAGTTCAGCATGAGCAATGACAACCTGCATCAATACAAAATCATTCCGATTACTGTATGCTTTATTAGTTCCCTTGGCAACATGATACCCGCAGTGAGCTACTGTAACTGCAAGGCTTCATCCGGTGATGCATTGAAATCTACGGCTCATTTAGCATGTATTACCTTGACAAGTGTGACTCACATGATGCTACTTTCAAGGAGATGTTCAGCAAAAAAAAAGGCAATTTTAAGATGCTTTCCGTCTAAAACTGTTATTATGGTCCAGACCAGATTAGTTGCACCAGCTAGTATGGTGATGTGGCCAGGGTAAAAGAGAGACAACTTCGTGACACAGAGAACTAAGGTTTTATGTTGAACATACCTCGTTTATTAGTAGCCTTCAGCCTTGCTCTACTTTGAAAGTGTGCTGCGGGGCCGCCGCACGTCCTACAGTTAAAAATGAGTTTACGGCTACATATTAGCACAACAAAACAACGTGTAGTAACAACATGAGGATACAACATTTGAAACATCAGCAGATACAATTTAGAACATAGTAACAATATAGGTCTGAATAAATAACTGCCGAATTGCCGGATAACAATATGAAATAAATATAAAATATAATACACTCACCTTAAGGACATCACCAACAGCAAGGACTCCGTACTATGGCTGACACAGGTTCTAGTGAATGTGCCCTGGGATGATATATATATATATATATATCATCATATGCCATATGCCATGATTAATCATGGCAGCACAAGAACAAGCTCTGAGTACAAGATCCATAGAGGCTGGGGTCTATCACACCAGGCAAGACCCCAGCAAGGCAAGGCATACATGGAACGCCATAACCAGGTGGCCGGCATAGTGTACAGGAACATCTGTGCCGAGTATAACCTGGAAGTCCCGAGGTCAAAATGGGAGATGCCCCCAAGGGTGGTGGAGAATGACCGAGCTAAGATCCTGTGGGACTTCCAGATACAGACGGACAAAATGGTGGTGGCTAACCAACCGGACATAGTGGTGGTAGACAAACAGAAGAAGACGGCCGTAGTGATCGATGTAGTGGTTCCGAACGACAGCAACATCAGGAAGAAGGAACACGAGAAGCTGGAGAAATACCAAGGGCTCAGAGAAGAGCTCGAGAGGATGTGGAGGGTGAAGGTAACGGTGGTCCCCGTGGTAATCGGAGCACTAGGTGCTAGTGATGGGTCATATTATAATTTATATTTAATTGTGTTGTGGTTTGCAGTGTTTTGTGTTGTTTTCACTTTAAATTTGTAAAAGGAAAAAGCTGAAAATTTAAATAGTTAAAAGTTGAAATGTGAATAGTTGATTTTTGTATTATATGATTTATTTATTACATTTTATGTGGAGTGAAAAAATAAAAGTATATTTACAGTGGCCCCTACAGACAAAGCACGTACAAACTCCAAAACACGTAAAAACTCGTACAAACTCCAAAACACGTAAAAACACGTACAAACTCCAAAACATGTACAAAAAACTCAGAAGCACATAAAAACTCCAAACACATACAAAAGACAACAGAAGTGCTCCAGGATGCTAGGCACAGTGTTGAGCTTTTGTTACCTAGTGGCTACACAAGCCAGCAAGTACCAAAGACCGGATTTGGTGTATGGTAATAACAGGTAAATGAACATTTGTTTAAATTATTTGAATATATTTGAGTGCTTGTGTATAAATACACAAACCATACACACATGCTTTCAATTGTGTAATTCAAGTGATCTAGCAGCTCTGCTTTGGAAGTTCAGTTCATGCTAGAAATGTGTTTTGGAGTTTGTACGTGTTTTGTCTCTAGGGGCCACCGCATATATTTATATATAAACATATACAAATAAAACCACTTTTTTTTACGTTAGTAATTCCTTTTGTGCATAATTTTATATTATTGTTAATAATTAATTAATTAAAGCAACAAAACAACCTGAAGAGCCGGTTCGGAGCCGAAAGAGCCGACTCTTTTTAGTGAGCCGAGCCGAAAGAGCCGGATCTCTAAAAAGAGCCGGAAATCCCATCACTACTAGGTGCGGTGACTCCCAAGCTAGGCGAGTGGCTCCAGCAGATCCCAGGAACAACATCGGAGATCTCTGTCCAGAAGAGCGCAGTCCTGGGAACAGCTAAGATACTGCGCAGGACCCTCAAGCTCCCAGGCCTCTGGTAGAGGACCCGAGCTTGAAGGATAAACCGCCCGCAGGGGTGTGCTGGGTGTTTTATATATATATATATATATATATATATATATATATATATATATATATACATATATATATGTATTAAATATCATCAAGTGTTTCGTGGCCACAAATAAGTATTTCGTGGGCACAAATAAGTATTTCGTGGGCACGTTATACCTATTTCGTGGCCACAATTTATTTATTTTTTGTACCATGTCATCAGAGGGGCTCCGTAGTTATGAAACACATGTCAATCCTTTTAAAAGGCCATACATTACACTGCATTTACAAATGTTATATTTTTGATTGAATCATAAGTAGTGTAAACCTGCCTACCAGTGAACTGCAACTCCCTGTTCATTGTAGTGATGGGATTTCTGGCTCTTTTTAGAGAGCCGGCTCTTTCGGCTCCGAACCGGCTCTTCGGGTTGTTTTGTTGCTTTAATTAATTTAACGATAATATAAAATTATGCACAAAAGGAATTACTAATGTAAAAAAAAGTGGTTTTATTTATATGTGTATATATATAAATATTTACGGTGGCCCCTAGAGACAAAGCACGTACAAACTCCAAAACACATGTCTAGCATTAACTGAACTTCCAAACAGAGCTACCTCGATCACATAAATTACACAATTGAAAGCATGTGTGTATTGTTTGTGTATCTATACACAAACAATCATATATATTCAAATAATTTAAAAAAAAGTTCATTTACCTGTTACTACCACACACCAAATCATGTCGTTGGTACTTCCTGGCTTGTGTAGCCACTAGGTAACAAAGCTCAACACTGCCCCCTAGCATCCTGGAGCACTTCTGTTGTGTTTTGTATGTGTTTTGAGTTTTTACGTGTTTTGGAGTTTTTACGTGTTTTGGAGTTTGTACGTGCTTTGTCTCTAGGGGCCACCGTAAATATACTTTTATTTATTCACTCCACATAAAATGTAATAAATAAATTATATAATACAAAAAACAATTAGTCACAGTTCAACTTTTAACTATTTACATTTTCAGCTTTTTTCCTTTTAAACAAATTTAAAGTGAAACAACACAAAACACTGCAAAACACAACACAATTAAATATAAATTAAAACATGAAAACAAAAAGAAGATGCACATTCTCTGTCATATGGACCTGCATGAATAAACTTTCTGAATCCTTTATCATCTGCAACTGAAAATAGTTGTGGATGATTACTATACCTTTCTAATGTGACGTTGTTGTCCCTGGCTGTCTTTCTCTCTCTCGCCCTCCGGCTCTGTTCCTGTGCTACCTACCCCTTGGAAGATCCTCAAAAACACATCCTTATGAGGTCCTAAGGCCAAAAATCGACCACAACATAAAAATTGCTATAAAATATTATATATTAATATTTTTTTCCACTTCAAATTGGTCAGTCTTTTAAAACCACTTCTCCCTGAAATATTCATATAAAGTTTTAATTATATTTCGGGGGTTTTAACCCTTTAAATCCCAGTTCCGTTACATGAGCGCACTGGTTTTTAAGCCGAAAAAACCAAAAAACTTAAATGTTTTCCATAAAATACATTTGAAGTAATATTTGATTGTTATTATAATTAGGCCTTTGGACATTCATTTTGATTCACCGTTATGTTTTTTTGCAGGAGCACGGTTTTTCACTCTTGCCCCACTAAATGCATATTACCTTGTTGCCTTCTAAAATAAGATAAAAAGGATTATGTAAATAAAAATACAAGATCAGTTTGAACCAAATAAACATTTATTTTCCAACAACCAACAAGAACTTGTATATTGTTGGGAATGGGTAAATGTATGAGAGAGAAAGAGCGAGTGAGAGGGTGGCGTGTGTGGCTGGGGGGTAAAAGTCTTGCTCAGGTAGAGCAGTGGCTGCAGATAAACTTGCTGTGGGCTCGGCAGGTGAACCTTCCACATTTGCTGCAGCTGTTTCCAACTCGCCTCATGTAGTCACAGCAAAGCTCACAGCGCTTCCTGCCCTTGGGATGTGTCAATCCAGAGGGGCCTGCAGCAGCACCGTACTGCACAGCTGTGACTAATCCAGCAGCGGCTGATGAGCGGGGAAGGTGTTCTCTTTTGGTTATATGAGGCTTGATCATGCTTTCTCCCACCTCTTCTATGTACAGCCTCCTCCTGTGTGGCGTCTGCTGCAGCCAGGACCGATCTACTGACGTCCACAGCACGAAGGCGTTGTACAGGGAAACGTCTATCATGTTGTGAAAGACAGCCATTGGCCATCGATTGTTCCGTCTCCTGCACGAGTAGGTGCCGACAACCTAACAAAAAACCCCACAAAACACAAAACCTCTGTATATTTTACACAAGAATATTTGAGCAAAAATGAATAAAGGTGTGCGTAACTGATGCGTAATGACACCCACCTTATCAAGGTTGTCGACACCTCCTTTGCACTGGTTATAGTCATCGATGATCACCGGCTTTCTTTTCTCTCCATCGCTGACCTCCAGCCTGCGATGCTTGGTGCTCAATAGAAGAACATTCCAGCCCCGTCGGGGAATGTAGGACACGAGGGTGTGCCTCACTGTAAAGGCAAAGGTGGACGAGTAGATCGCTCTCCCTTTTGTCTGGCGCAAAACAGGTGAGATTTCTGGTTCGTTCTGGCGAATTGTGCCGACTAGAGCTATTTGCCTCTTGAGGAGTTGCTCCGCCAGTGCAAATGACGTAAAAAAGTTATCGCAGGTGGCGACGTGTCCCTGGAGCCCCTCGGTCATCTGCAGGACGACCCTCATCCCCTGGTTTACTTCTGCTCGTTCACCCGCTGCTCTCCCCGTGTAGACTTGCAGCCGCCAGGCGTACGATGTCTTGGCGTCACAGGCTGCCCAAACCTTTATGCCATATTTGGCAGGCTTTTTTGGAATGTACTGTCGGAAGCTGCACCTTGCTTTGAACGAGACCAGCTGCTCATCCACAGTAAGGTCTCGGTCTGGGCTGAACAACATCATCAGGCGGTGTGTCCACATGTCCCATACCTCGTGAAAGGGAGCCAATTTGTCGGTATGGCGGCGGGGTCGGGAGAGCTTGTCGTCAAACCTGAGGGCCCTGGTGATGTGAGAAAATCTTTTCTGGGACATTGCAGCTCGGAAAATGCTCCTTCCCGTTTTCTCGCTCCAAAGGCTGGTGGTGGCTTCGTGTTTTGAGCGGTAAACGCCGGCCAAAATGAGCAGCCCCACATAAGCCAGCAATTCGTCGTTATCCAAATCTCGCCAGTCTGAGATTGTGCGTCTGCCATGGAGGTTGGTCATTTCAACGATATGGTGCATGATCTCATCAGTCAGGAACAACCTGAAGTTGGAGAGTGGGTCAGAAATTCGGGCGACGGCGTAGTGGGTAGGTCCTGCTATATGCCCTATTGCTGCTGGGACGTAGCGCAGCGTCGCGGTACTTGAGGGGGACCATATCTTGCCGTTTTTGGAGGTCCACTCCGGTGCTTCGCCGTGCATCTCCTCCTCGCTCTCATCTCCAGAAGACAAATCAGAAGAAGACTCCAGAGAGGAAAGGCTTCTGATTTTAGACACAAACATACATTTTTCTAAAGTTAGAAAAAGACCTTTATTTTTATATATATATATATATATATATATATGTATATAAAGGTCATTGATAGTGACACACAACACCACTCTTTTTTCACTTTTTAAAGCAGAGCAACACGCTTAAAATCTGATTTTTCTTGGCTGGAGTTCGTTCAATGCTGAAAAATGGGGGGAAATTGCGCCACCTGGTGGACAAATGAAAAAAATTACAAATTTAAGGCCGATGTGAGTGAAGTTGGCCCCCACCTTCTTCAAACAAAAGTGGTATCAAACGTTTGTGCTGGTTTGTACTGCAAAAATGTTCGTTTGTGCTGCTATCATTTTAAATATATTAATAAAAATTTCTAGAGGTCATCAGAGGTCAACCAGCCCCCCACATTAATTGAATCAAACAAAACTGGTGTCAATCAACTGTGCTACATTTGTGCTGGTTTGTGCTGCTAAAATTACAGTTTGTGCTGCTTCTGTTTTAAAGATATTGTCTCATTCCTTCATCTGCATGTGAAGTGTTCTCCTTTGGATTTTCTTTTATGGTTTTCATTTTCTTACGAACTTTTTGCAGAAGTCCTAGTTTTCTTTTTGACAGTGGTTGCTTGCTTTTGCAGAAATTGAAATTGGCCTCTGTGGCAGCTCCGCCATAGCCACCACCAAACAACTTAAACGCCCGGTATGCCCGATGGCCAGTCCAGCTATGGTCACCTCCCTTGAGTAGGGTGCCTGGATGTCTTCAACTCTACAGAAGGCCCTCTGTGAAGGTGCACTAACACACGAGGGCCACTTGTGATAACATTCATCCATACAACTAAGTAAGGAAGTGATATTACTAACGTGATATGGTTAAAATATGTGTGCCAGTACAATATATACATGTGCAAAGCCCTGCATACATCTATCATGGGGAAGGAGGAGGAAGTTATTATGTCTATTAATGGAGAATTGATTTAGTTACTGAATTTTGCTTCTTAGTAGACGAAAATTTGACGTTGAAATCACATATTGAGTATATTAGAAAGAAATGTAAGAGGTTTATTAGACTACAAGTCAATGTGCATCTTATACTTTTCATTGTTTTTCTCATACTTTAGTTACTGTGTGGAACTTTGGGGGAATACATATGTGGATACCATAAACCCTCTAAACTTATTACAGAAGAAAGTGATACGAACGATTCATAACGTCAAATATAGAGAACATACAAATAAATTGTTTATAAAATCAAAACTATTAAAATTAGGATATTTAGTGAAACTACGGACACTATTAATTATGTTTCAGGCTAAAAATAATATTTTGCCTTTCAAGTTACAAAGTTTATTTTCAATGTGTTCGGGGCTGAAGACAGCAGAAGGAAATTTTATTTTAAGCATCAGCTAGCTAGGACTGCACACAGATCAATCCAACGGTTAGAGGTATACGACTATGGAAATCTCGTCATTATAATCTAAAGAATTGTACAAATTTACATTGTTTTAAAAAGTGTCACATGTCTAAAACCAAACTCACTATGAAGATTATGAACGAAATTGGAGTTAATTGAAGGATTTTTTCCTCTCTCCTGCTTTCTTTCGCCTTATTCTATTTCCTTATCTTTTCTCCTTGTTATGATGTGAAGTGGTATATTCTGATTGTAGATTTATTGTTTGGTCTGCGTTAGGACCTGGAGATAAGTGTTAGTTTGTTCCTTGGTGTATGGTGCCCACTTGTAATATAAGTTGGATCGCAGACAGGGGGCAGGGTTTAATAAGAGCATTTTCTTCTTCCTTTTCACGCATGGTTGCAGTGTTATACCGAGAGAAAGCATGGTTTGTGTGTATGAAAGAACAAAACTGTTGAAACTGTTAAACCAATTATTCCTGGAATAAGCAGCTTGCTCTGCCACAACCACGAACAGTAAACATGCAATGAGCAATGCCAACATTTTCCACACCCTAGTCTCCTCTTGCTCTGCATGATGACATAGAACACAAACAAGTACAGAAAATTAACTAAAAATATAGCATGTGTCAAGTTTTTATAACCACTTAAAGCAAACTGTTCAACAGAGCTCATAAAGAAGCCTGATGCAGTTGATGCCTTGTTATTATTTCCAGCACCGAGGTGCATTATCTGGAACATAATTTATGAAGAAATCATTTAGTTTTGGACAAACAAAGACAACACATAACAGAAAAATGACACCTAACAGTGATGTCATCTCTTAAAGTGAAATGAAGACACAGCTGAACACTAGTGAACATAAATTTCTTGTTGAAGGAGTGGAAGAAGAACACAGCCCTTTCTCTCTGGTAGTTCATTAATTTAGAGAAAACAATTGTAATGGAGTACTGTTTTACTTCAACAATAATGTTTTATGTGGTGAAAAAAGGCTGTTTAGCTTTCAGGAAGAGCCATCTATTCCAGCAAATACAACAACTGCATATTTGAAAAAAAAAATTAATTTACAGCAAAATATAAAACAGACACACAAAACGTCCAAGTATAACTTTTGTCCACAAGTCTGAATTTATCCTTTTTTTGTTTGCATTCTTTCAAAGAACTGCCTCCTTATTAATGGTCCCTGGAACAGAAACACACTTGCTGTGTGCTAGTGACACACTAATCTATGCATACGTACATAAACACAACAAGAAGGTAAACACGTTTATTCATTTCCATAAAAAGTGCATCGATTTAAGAAGAATTTAGTGAAATTTTGTTAAAGTAAAAATACTTTTGAAAATATGTGAAAAGTTTTTGTCCAGATTGGAGCAGAATACGCTGATTTTAAATTCAGTTAGTTACAGATGGCTTGGCACAACACCCTGTTAACATTGACACATAGGTTACCATAGTGTTTCAAAGAGTAAAATAAGCACAGATTTACAAAAAACAACACTGCCATAACGACGTTACTACTGACCCTACATTTGTCTTGCCTTTGGCTTCACCTGCACAAGTGCCGAGGTAGGTCTCCCTGCAGGATTGGTTTTCCCTCCGTCGGGAGCAGCAACATTTTTCTTGTAAAACAAAGGCGGGCCTACCAAAACAGTTTGGAACCACTGGGTTAACTGCAGGTGTATAAGTCATGTAGATTCCTGCACTCACACACTGGTTTATTTGGCTTCATGAACAAACATGATCAGATTATAAAACTCATATGGAGTCATGACATAAAAATGGTTTTACATGCATCTAATCTGAGAAAAGATTGAATCGGTTAAATCTGGACTTACAGTCTCTGGATGTTTGGTCCAGTTTCACAGGAAGAACAAGAGAAAACATTTCAGTGATTCTTCAGACGAATCAGGAGCTCTACAGAGAAATCTCTGCTCCAACCATCAGCTAAACATCTCCACCTCTGACAGAAGTTCAACACACGTGCAGAAATAAGTGGCTGAAGAGACATACTGACCTAAATCCTCTCAGAGACTCCAGCGGTTCATCTGTTGGACAAACAGCTGAGATAAATCTGTGTAAACTCACCATCATAGCAGAAGAAAGGCTTTCTGTGGTCACATCCAGCAGAGCTCCATCTTCCTGATCTCTCTAACAGAGTCGTAGCACATGTCCTGTTGTTTAGTCCATCACTGCATGAGTCCATGTCCCAGTATCTGAAAGAGAAGTTACTCCCATCTGACCACAGGCCGATCCACGAGGCTGTAGACTTCTGCAGCTTCTCTTCACTGTATATCTGATGGAGTCCACTGGCCAGGTCGGTGTGATGCTGTCTGCAGTAGCTCTGAGTCCAGGTCACAGACGTCAAAGGTTTTATTGTCGTTCATTGTCGAGTTAACAGAGAAACACAAAAACATCTTTATCAGCTAACTCGTCTCATTCTTCAAACTGTCTCTTTCAGGAGTCTATGATATAACACAGGTTATAAAATTAATTATAACATTATTAAAGATTGTATTATCTTATTACTGTCCACATATTCTCACCGTGGTAGCAGATGACCTGAAACGTGGCAGTACGTGTATGATCTTCCCACCCGTCTCCTGTCCTTAGCATAACTGATAACTTTGTGTGAAATGTAGCCGTCTGTGTGCTCCAACACAAAATGACGGTTCTTGTTTTACTGTTCCTGGAATTCATGCTTTAAATTAGGTCTGTCAGCGTTAACGTGTTAATGCAGACTCGTTCAAGCTGCGGTTCAAATTTTTAACACACTCAACCCATCTGGAGCGCAGACTGGACCAACGTTGGACCAACGTTGGACAAACTGCGTCGACAGAGACATTTCAGGCATGTTGAGTCAGTCTGTGCTCCAGATGCATTAATTGATAATCGCGTTAGTCGCTATGACCGCGTAACACACATTACAATGTTAGCACTGAGTAACCCCTTACACGGCTGATCCACAGTAACACTGACAGCACTCTTTACAAATCTCTGTATAGGGATTTGAAGTGATTACAACATGATCCTGTGCAGATGTGACCCAGCACCTGCTTTTCCCTGTGTGGATGTCTGTGTGGCACTGAATTTAAATCAATCACACATTCATTTATGACAACAAGATGAAGCCTGTTAGCACCTCATGCTGTGAAGAAGCCAAAGAAACTTAGAAAGACATTCTGAACAGCAGATCCAGAGTTTTATGACATCTTCAATAAATGTGGACATACAGAAGTTAGCTTGGCGTATGTAAGGTCTTGTGAAAGGGGAAACACAGACGGTCTTTATCTTACAGTGTGACTGAAGAGCATCTACATTTACTGTCTCTCTCATTTTCTCACCTTTCCAGCTTGTTGTCGTTGTAGCAGCTGCTTTCTCACTCGTCTGCCTCCCTTCTGCTTCTTGGTGTGTCTGTGTGTACATGTTTACATATCTCTGTGGGGACCAGAAACTGGAATTTTACTATGTTTCTGGGGATCAACTCCAGGGTTCCTGGTGACCCAGTGTTTTCAGTTTGTTCATGTTCTGTG